GCTGAATTACTCCAGAAAATTATTCCATTATTAATTCTAGACTGCACATAGGCATAGTATGCGCTTAGAGCAGTAGTTTCGATTTATATTAGCTAAAAGTATTCTTAGAGCGTAGCTAAATTTGGAAATATTACCCGATACTTGTTGAATGTGTTCTTTCCTGTCCAATCTTCGATCAAGCGTAACTAACAGGAATGTGACAGAGGTTTCTGAAATTATATTTTTGTCCTTGTATGTAAATGTGAGGCTTTCATCCGTGCCACGGCTAAAATTAATCACTTGAGTTTTATTGACATTTAACAGGATATTGTTTTTAAACTAATGTTCTAATGTACTTAATGTGGAATTTAGTTTTTCCCTTGCATAAATCAAGTGTTGGTTCACTAAAAATCAATGAGGTATCATCGGCATATTGTACTACCTTACAGGAAAATCATGTGTTGAACACATCAGATATCTTGTTTGACTGTTCAAAATTTAAGAATGAAGCCCTTCACAAAATGTAATTTTACTTTTAATAGCTATTTATGAAATCAGATATGAAATGCCTTATTTTATGTAACGAGTGAATATTTGCGGGATGAGCAGAGCGAGATCCCACAACATGAACGAGTTACATAAAACAACATTTCGAAATGTGTTACATATAATAATTGCCTCTAGGCAACCAATATTACCACTTTCTTGTATTGTTAGTTGTAGTTGCATATGCATCATTTTATTGACAGATCATAATATCAATTATTTATTATTAAAAACTTGAGTTTTTGACGGATATTTACGTTTTGTGGTCCGTTTTGACCATTTTTGCAATGTCTTGTCTGTATCCTCGATAACATAAAAACGGATACAACTTATTAGAGTTATTTAGTTTTCAAAAAAGTGGGTTATGTTGTCGTCACTTGTGTTTTATTATTTTGTGCCAATTTAGAATGAAAACATAAGGAGAAAATAACATTATTACTAGCTTGTAAGTTTAACCAAACTCTATTTTATAAGTCAATTTGCCCTTATTTGATATGAACTTTCAATAATAATGTACATTATTGATTTTAAAACCAAAAAAGGTTTATTTTTATTTGTTTTCTTTTCGCAACTGGTGATATAATAAATTTTTCGAAACCAATTTCATAATGTTTAACATTATGCAACTGGTTGCGTAAAGTAGATCATTTTGACACTTGCTGCGATTACAAAAACTGTCACTTTATATGTCAAAATTAGAAAAACACATTTATGTAACTGGTCTTGCAGCCGTTGCCATGTAACGGTGATACATAAACAGTTTAAGGACAGCGTCTCCTAGGAATTTCTGAACAAAATTATGTCACTTTAGATTCAATCAAGGAGGTGCTGTTACCTACCGACTAGAGATTGAATTAGTGCAAATTATTACAGAAATCTTTAAGTAACTATAAATATCGACCGACTAGCTATTAGGGGATATTGTATTATAAACCGGTTTTTAGTAGACTGAGTTCGAAGAATCATAATAATAGTCCTGAACATAAAATCTATTTTTCAATAATTGCCGGGATTTCACCAAATAAAAAAAAATTATTTCGCGATTGTGAAAACGGTCCAATCGTTTTATATGCCATTTATAATATTATAAAAATGTTAACTCTAGGACTCATTTTGGAGTATGAGCATACTTTATTTCAATACTTTTATTGTACTGTTTCATAAAATATTACCTACTTATTAAATTTTATTTTTATCGAAAATTGACTTTGTTTCCTGGACCAAAGTAAAGAATGTAGATGGTAACAACCAAAACGATATCTTACCTTACATTAAATATAAATATTTCCTAAAATAAATAATTTGGTTTATATACGGGTAGTAATACGAGGGATGTTTATAATTTCAAGTCACGAATATAGAGTCGTTTCAAAATATATTGCGACAATAATTGCGTCACATTGAGTCGGAGTGGGACGCTTATTGACGTGTTGCAATTCGCAATATATTTTAAAACTATTCTACCTAATTAATAAATTGTGATTTTGAAGTATCGAATGAAAACTATATTCTCATTGGTTAAAGATGGAAGTTTTTGTCATTTGAATGTTCAAGAATATTAATTGTGATTAATTGGTTAAACACCGAAGTTATCTGTTGGTACTAACCTAATGTTTTTGGGTAATTTTGACTGTCATTTCCTGGAATTTCCAGACCCGCATATATATTTATCCTATTAAAGTACAAAAACCCTACAATAGATATTATGAGTAGGTATTTAACATTCATTTATCTTATCTTACTTAGGTGTAGTTATTTCCCTGATTGTCAATAACACATTACCGTATATCTGTGCCAATATGACGTCACGACTTTTAATATACTTAATGAAGGCTGGGGGAAGGAGTTAAGAGTCTATAAATTTACAAACAAGTTTACGGGTATTTAGTTTTCAAAATTACATTACACGTTTCTGAAGTGTTTTATTGTGCTGTTTGTTTTTAATAAGTGTTATTTTCTTTAATAGAAAATTTATTTATTTGTGCCAAGTGTCCTAGTGTACATTTTAATCAGTTTTATTTTTGGATAAATTGACATCGACTTCCTGCATTAAAGGTAGGTAGTATTTTTTTTCTATCACTCTCGAGTTCGTCATTGAATAAAAAAATTAAACGCTATAATTTTAACATTCAAATATTTGCAATTAAAAAATAATATTACGTATTAAATTGACAATAAAAAAACTTGTTATTTAATAATAATGTTTCATTATTCTGAATATATTTTTTCTACGATTAATATCCAAAGTAGGTAGGCTTTTGCACATTAAAATCTAAATAAAAAGTTGACGTTTTCTGCGAATTGTCATAATTTGACATTATTGGCGCACATTACCTAATATTCAAACCCATTTCCATGCTTAAAAATAGAAGATGGTGACATTCATTTAAAAGAAAACCATAACTACTTTTACCAGGTGAAAAATTTCAATATGTTAAAATAATTCATGATTTTTAAGAAATGCGCTAGAAATGATACTACAATATTAATATTTTTTTTATGTTTGATTTTCTAATAATGATTTTATATACTTTTAGATTCAAGGACAGCTAGGTATAGCTCCAAGAAAATTGTGCTACTTTGTAGTATATACTGGAGATGAAAATCCACTATTTGTTGAAAAAATTAATTTTCAACCCATTTTTTTTTTTTTAAAATATGGTTGAAAAATTAGAAAAATTTTACTCGGAATATATGGCACCTGAGATAATTTTAAATAGAAGAGGACGAGGATTAAAATGTCTGGATACCCCATATAATGAAAATTAAAGTGCAAAGATTAGCAAATTTATAAAAATAATAATTTAATGGACTTTAATCATACAAGTACTTGAAATAATGGTTTTTTGCGCATAAGCATGTTCATACGTAATTTGCAATTGGTAATCACTAATCACAGATGGAAAAGTATATACGTCAACGATACGTTCTTTTATTTTTGATTTATTTTAACAGGTATAATATAATGGTATGTTACTTATAGTATAGATTTTTTTATTTCTTGACCTAATTTATTTGTTACGTCTTCAGCAATTGTCGCTTTCAGTTGACATAAACGAAATTGATAAAAAGTGTTTTTTCGCATTTTATTTTGACTGTTTCTCTTACTTTCGAATAGAAACTGAGCTTTGTAAACTTAAAATGACGGATATGTCAAACTAAAACTGACGGTAAAATGAAACATTGAGTATCGTTAAATGCAACTTTTGAACTAGTTTCAAAAATAGCATTAAAATGATATCATTCACAATGTACTAATTTCCTATACTTTTAGTTGATAAATAACCGATAATCATAACATAACAAATAGGCGCGTGTCAAAAGGTCACCGGCGAAAAAAGAGTGCCGATGAAAAAAGGTCGTTTCCAATTGTATCATATAAACAGTATCAGAGGCAGTATTATCATCTCGTTTATCCCCCGTAAACACACATAATATAAACGGAAATAATCAAATACTAGTCAAAATATTATCGATCGGAGCACCATCTTTATTACATTACATGAAGTAATTATTGATTTCTCGGGGTTTATTTAGAGTTAAATTAGACGCCATTTTTGGTCCAAATTCGTTTTGACATGTTTTTTCAAAGAAAGTGACTTATAAATTTCAAATCTACACGTTTTGAAAAATATACAATATTTAAATATTCTGAGTGTACCAAATTCCAAGTAAAGGTTGAACTTAGGTCGTATTACATTTTTTTTTTATTATTTGTTTGACATCGAGGTTAAAATAAATCTACACGGCACCTTTGAGATGAAATAAAAGGGGGTTATTTTACACGATTGGTTTTTATTGAAAATAATAAATTTATTAATTTTCAATAGTAAGGTGACCTAAGTTAGACCTTTATTTTTAATTTGGCCAAAAATTAGATTTTTAAACACTACATATTCGGAAAACTGTCGATTTAACTTTTGGTCTACACATACACTTTTAATACACAGGGATACCCCGTCCTTAAGCGTAGGCGGCAACACCTGTCGTTCCTTCTTTTGTCACACTCTATTCTGAGAATGTAATTACAAAATAACATAAATAGGTTTTAATGTACTGTAAAGTTATATACATAATAATTACAACGTGAGAAAAGTAACAAAATTATACTGTCTTAGTTATTAACAGTTTCAAATGAAAACTGGTAGAATTAAATGAACGTGTGTTATATGATACAATTATTTATATCACTTATCAATAATAAAGAAACGTGTTTCTTAAGGAAACTTGAGTCAATAAAAGGAGACATGAAATGAACTCACAAGAAATAATTCAAGAGGAAGAAAAACAAATAGAAATATAGAAAATGTACATGTTGCTTTAAAACAAATAAATAAGATAAAAAAAAATTAATAATATGTACACGAGAGGAAGTAAAAGGAACATTAATAAAGGACCAACGATTAAATGAAACTGTTATCAGTCAGTTTAAAGCTGTGATTATCATGATAACTACATTATTTTTTTACCCTTACCTGAAGGCTAGTGTTAAAAAATCAGGTACAACATTCGGACCGCAGAGTTCCGAAAAAGCGAGGTAATCCAAACCGAAGTTATGGGTTCTTGGCAAATAGTCGGGATCAGCATCGACCCGAGCTATGAGCTCGCACAAGACGATGCCGTAGCTGAAAACGTCGCTCCTCTCGTCGTAATATTTTCCGTTCAGACCCTCGGGCGATATCCAGTAAGGGGAGCCGACAATGGGCAATTTGGTTTTCTCCTTAGGATCGGGAATGTCAGTGGAGAGACCGAAATCGCCGACGATGGCTCTGATTTTGCCACTGTCGAGGTGTTTGACGAGAACGTTCTGGAAAAAATAAGAATACTTAAATAGTATTAGACAAAATTATAATATTTATGGAATTTGCTTTATTTACCAACTGCATATTATTTGTTTATTTTTAACCATTTTTAAAGAATCCATCAATAACTGTGTTTCGAAATTTTAAAGAATATAATACAGAGAATTACTTAAAAAAAATATTTTGGTGAAAATTAAAATCTTGTGTGCACTAGAATAGTGGTTATTTTTGTTTGATTAACACATGTCTGTATTCACAAAGCATTTTTAAATAGTCACCTACGTGTAAATCCCTAAAGATAGAAACGTCAACATTGTTAAGGTTATTTGAATTAATGAAATATAGTTGTCACTAATATTTCTCGGCATTTTTAAGCTTCTGTATCAAGAATCTAATAGGTTCATCAAACGTCAATAGAGAGAACAAGTATAGTTGGGACGATGTCGTGATTTTTCAATCATACTTTGAATCTTTGGAAAAAATCATACAAATGAGGTTATATCATTAACAAATTAAATAGTCGTCAATATTTTATCTATTAGGAATTCATTATAAAGACGTCTTTTTTAGGATTTACATGTGGGTAAATTTAAAAATCTTTTGTGAATCAGGCTATTATTATTGGTGACTGATGTGTATCAGTAGATACACATTTAAAAATTTCTTATAAAGTTTAGAGTAGATGCCATCCCATTACAAAAAAAAAGTTTAGAGTATATATATATTTTTATTAAAGGTAACTTTTTAATATAATTTAGGTCAACGAAACTTATTAATATGAACAGAACATTTTCGTACTGCGTGTGCATTGTTTAATTTTTAAGTTACAATTTTATACACGGTCCTCTATTTTTTCAATGATTTCATTATGTTACAATTTTATATCCGCTTCAAAAGTATGTGTATCGGCTAGAAATATACTATATTGGTGAATCCCAAATTAAACATATATCAAATAACTCTTTATAACACTTTAGTATCCATTGATACGAACAATATATCTACTATTGAACAAGCTGTACATATTTAATTTAGAGATTTTAATCAAAATAGTTTCGTCGTGTAGGCAAATAAAATGTATGTTCTCATGTCTAGTTTCTAATCTAAGTTGGCACCAAAAAAATTATTTTCCTAATTATTAGTAAATAGTTCGACATTGTTGGGAAACAAACTATACATGTATAAAAGATAGTGCATTTTATTTTCGTCGTGATGCTATAAATTCAAACTACAAAGCGTCAAAACATTGTATTTATTATTATTATCATGAAAAATACACAGGATATCCTCGAAAATAGTGCGTTCCTTGGAATGAATAGTTGAAATCCTTTACGATCAAAAATACAATATTTTTCTAAAGCCATCGACGCACTATTTTGACGTCCGACTGGCGATCGATTCAAGTAATGATATGTCACTTGAAGAAAAGTCATTTATAACTATTTTTGATATACAAAAGACCGGTAGGCGTGTTCTTTCTGTCGACCAATATGGCGGAAAATCATTTCTTGATTTATAAATTTCTATTTACACTAAATTAATTTGGATTATTCATCACATCTTGATAGTCGTAAGTACATTTGTTCCTTTAAAAATCTCGTCTTTTACTACAAATCGTTATTTTAATAAATCAAATATTATTATGCAATAAACCCGTAACAACACACTGGAAAGTAATCCCGGGATTCGTTTTCCCTTAGGGAAACAAGTTCTCCGCTTATATATGAAAATTATATATATTTCAAAACAATCAGTTGGGGCAATAACGATTTCTGAATGTGACTACAGGGAGCTAAATGTGACCACTCAAAATGCATTTAACTATGTATGTGGCTATTTAATCAAAAAATCATTACATATCCACTCTTGCGAAATTTACGTAAACTTGTTAACGCATTTTAAAGCATACGACTCTGAAGAAAAGGTGTTTGGCAATTTAAAATCTCCCAGCGAAAAATTTCTCTTTTATATTTTCAAATTTGAAAAAATATTTATATCTCTATTTGATAGTTTGTCAACTAAGCCTGGAATTTCCAACGCATACCTTTTTGAGATGAGCAAAATAGAATTTGGTCATCCTTGCAACAATTTGCGAAAATGTACACCATTAAATTATTTATAAGACTCAGAATTTTTTATAATCTTAAATATGCAAACAGAGATTTGAAATCCTCGAAAAATTCAGACAAAACCAAAAGAAAAATTAAAATTTTGTCCCATTTATAAATATTATTGATTTTTTTTTTCATCATATTTTTGACTGCTTTATAAAAAAAAGAAGTTATTTTTCTTTGTAGTTTTATTTCTTAACTATTCCAATGGTCCAACTAACGTTTTTTCGTAATCACAATGAATAAATTATTATCATGGTCCAACAAACGCGCACCTCATCGCCTTGTGAGGGAGCCGGTAAAGAAGCCGCTGCGTACATTCGTATCTGGTCTAGGTAATCTGTGCCATGGGACAGCGCCCTGCTTGTGACGTATAATCCATTGCATGTGTTCATCTCTTGCTAAGCGATATTGTCGTTGTCCTTGGTTTTCGCATCATAATGAGAGATAAAACAACAGATGCACACATTTACTGTGCCCTCAACGCCCGGTCGTCCAGTGTCGTGCCAACGCGGTTTGCGCTGAATATTAGATAAAATAATAGGTAATAGGCATTGAGGAAAATATAAAATATGTAAGTTATTTTTGTTTTGTTTATTATACTAGGGCACGTGCCCAAGTGCCCTTACGGGCAAACCGCCACTGTTTACGACAAAAAATTAATTTTTAACCTGTCCTCGCGCAATTATCGTGCAAATAACGTTTAAGGGAAGGATAGGGGAAGACTTCATCTACGCACTGTATAACGCAAATTATTGCAGGTGGAGCGTGGAGGTTTTCATGAGGTATGAGGGGGAGCAACCTAAAACGGTTGAGAATCCCTGCATTAATCACTAAACGAAACACAAAAACAATTATATAATGATAATATAAATCTAAAAACGAAAAATACACAAGCCCGCCACAAGAACACAATGTAAATAAACAATTAGCTTACGTAGCGTAAATGTCTCACGCGCTTACATTCTCTTGTAGACAATTTTGTGGTTGAGAGACAAGCGGTTCGAATCCTACAGCAGATGCATGTTTTCCAGGATAACTCTATCAATACGTTTTCCATAAGTCTTTCAAATGTCGCGGGGGCATTACATGGTCCAAATGGCATAGTATTGAATTTCCACAATCCAGATCCGGTGGTAAAAGCTGCCTTTTCTTTATCTACTGGGTCCATTTTCACTTGCCAGTATCCAGACTTCAAATCTAAGGTAGATAATAGTTTAAGATATCGTCGATTCGAGGTAACATTGTTCAACTGACGGTAATCCACACAGAACATCGTAGTTCCATCCTTTGTCTGGACCAGAACTACCGGCAAAAAACCCATGGGCTGGTAGAAGGTTCTTCCTTCATTTCCTGAATAATCCTTTGGTAATTTTCGAGCTGATTGACGAATCGACCTGGCGTTACCAGTATCAATTTTGTGTTTTACAACAGAAGTTCTTCCTATTTTTTCTCCTTTTGGTACAAAAATGTCACGATATCATCGAAGAAATTCCTTTATTTTCTTTTTTGCCAACTGATTCAGAGATTGACCAGCAACTGGAATCATTTGCTCGAATTTGTCGTTGGAATTATCAGAAGTTGTTGTCCGACGAATTATGGAAATTACTGGCACACAAGTTCCGATTCTGGTCTCTTTCTTGATGGTAATTGGGTAATCATTAACGTTTATTAGACGAACTGGAATCTCTTTAGCAGCAGTAACCAACCCCTTTCCAATCAGAATTCCTCGTCTAACCTCATCATCGTGGTTCCAAGGTTCCATCATTACAGGTGTTTCTTCTTCCATAGTTTATTGAAGCCGTGCTACTATAACGGTTTCACTTCTGCCAGGTGCCACCGTATCCTCCTATACAGCAACTGGCACGATACTGTCTCCAAATGGATGTAGGAATGCCTCTTCGGCATCAACTTTGATCACGTTTTTAAAGTCTAACTGGAAACCATGTAATTTCATTACATCCATTCCAAGTATATTTTCTTCGATATCAGCGATAATAACAGTACTTTTCTGGATTACTCATGGATGTTGGCACTTCCATCTGTGGCAGTCCGTAGTCGCAATCTTGTTGGTAGAAGTCTCTTACGGTTATTTATAGTTGTTGGTGGTATAATGGTCCTAGTTGCTCCAGTATCCACCAACACTGTATACTTTTTTACCATTTACTTCGCCGTTTACGTATACACTAGGTTTGTTCCAACACGCGCGTAATATTACCGTACAAATCGTACGCTCTACGCAAAAATTGTATACAGCGCATGATTTGTACAGTAATATTACGTTTTTTTTCAGAGGCTATCAGTATCAGAGGGTATTTGGAACGGTTTCGGGTCGAAGCTGTCCCCTCTAGGCCGACCCGCTCTAGTTTTCCTGCGGCGTGTTGTCTTCAGTTGTTGGGACCCTAGGGCTTTTGCACGAACTGCGTACATGTCCCAGTTCACCGATATTCCAGCACCTGATAGTCTGCGTCCTTATCTTTTTGTATGTCTTCATTATGTTAACTAGTTGGTCTTCTACGTTTTCTTCTTTTACAGTCCTTACTTTACTGTATCCTTCAGAAGCCTGAGTAGCTGCCTCATACTCTAGAGCAGCCGACAAGACATCGACCAATGTTTTGTGACGGTCCAAGCGAAGTTTCTCGTGGTCACGGAGTAAATCAACAAATATTTGGTCTGCTAAACATTCCATCATGTTTTCTGGAGCTGATGGGTAGGCAAATTGTACCAACCTGGCTATATCTACTTCATATTCTTGAAAGGTCTCGTCTCGTTTCTGTTTACGATTCTTTAACTGTGATTGGTATAGATGCTTCAAATGTTCATGGCCATATCGCATGTTAAGTCTCTTTTTGAGTTGTTCAAAATCATCTGTCTCTTCCACGGGTATTGTCTAA